TGATTACAGACCTGTTTTCTTTCACTTACAGAATGTTCGTAATAATTGCACGAGTTCAGGCAGGCTATGTCTCCTCATGATGCTATATAAATTTAGAAAAAGAAATCTTTATCTTTATTATATGACAGCTCATGTGCTCACATCCATCACTTTTTTTTAGTGTAGCTTATTTGCAGCCCAGTGGGAGTTATATAATCTGACACCAACATTTCAACAGAAAAATCAGAGGAAATTATGAGAGAAGTGTACTACTGTTCACCTTTCCACAAATTCTCTTGTGTTAATAGAAATGAGATCTCAAATTAGGACAAATTCTCCTTCACATTCCAAATACCATAGTTATGCTGACCTATTTAAATCATTAATGATCTCTCTTTCTATCTCTCTCTTTCACACACACACACACTGAATGGGCTTTAATAAGTATATAATCAACATTATAAATACACCCTTAAGTTAAAACTATGGGGTCTGTTTGGACTGGTGGTATTTGAACTAGTTGCATGCCCCACAGAAACTCTGATGTTTTAGGTGTGGTCTTAATATTGGGATGTTTAAAAGCTTTCTCTGTGATTCTACTGTACAATAAAGTTGGAGAATCACTGCTCTGTATGTCTCCCTTTAGCAAATGGACACTGAATAGCTACTTATGTCAGTAGCTTAATAATATGTAAGGGGGAGGTCCTGAACTATGTGCCAGGTAGTGGATTGTCCCTCGAAAGAAAATGGTAGATATAAACTGAGTGACAATTAATTTTAGTAGCCTCCCAGACAAGGTCTTGGCTAGGAATTACTTTGGACCACACTGTATATTCTGGAAAACATTCCCTGTATCCTCTGCCAACTCTCAACTCCTCCCCTACACCCAAATGCCCACAGAGAAATAAATGCTATTTTAAGTCTGGATAAATTATTTATATATCAATTTTATTGATGGGGAAACCAATTTTAAATTAACATCAGACAGTCTTGACTGGAAATAAAGCCACCAAAGCACAAGACAGACTGCTGTGCTTAGTCACAGAAAAAGTTAAGGAAATATATGGGTTAATTTTATTCAGATGAGGAACAGCTGGCAAAGTCATTGGTGTCCTCATCTGGCTACCTCCTGGGTTCACAACTCAGCCACCAGTGAATGTAGCAGAATTGGGACCATAGGTATGTCTGGTTGAGCACATCAGGAGCACAGAACAGAGAGCTATGTTGTGCATTTAAAGCAATCAAGACCAGTGTGGTGGTTCATGCCTGTAACCTCAACACTCTGTGAAGCCAAAGCAGGGGGATCTCTGGAAACCAGGAGCTAAAGACCAGCCTGGACAACACAGTAAGACACTGCCTTTATAAAATGAAAGCAATCAAAGTAGATAAACAATAGACAAATGTAATATTTAACCATTAAATTAGAGCTGTGCCGTGTCCCTGAACAGGCACTAATTTCTGCCAAAGAGGTTAGGTGGCTATATAATATCTCCACCTTCCTTAATAGTCCATTATGTGTGAATCTGTTATTCTCTGAATTTACATAAGTCCATCTTGGACTAGTTTTTATTTTCAGCTAATCTCTTCTTTTGTGAATTGAATAATAATTTAATACTTCTAATTTTTTGGCTTGAAACGACTTACCGAAATTATCAAATACCAGGATTAAAAGAGAGCCTAGTTAGGGTTCATGGAAACCGGTGATTCTCAAACTTTAATGTTGACCCGGGCCTTTGTTAAATGTTTCTCAATGTGTGGTTCAGAGATTAACAGTATCAGCATCACTTGGGAACTTGCTAGAGCTGCAAAATCAAAGGCCCATTTCCAGAATTATTGAATAAGAATCTGTGTTTTTAACAAGATCCCCCAAGTGATTCTCATACACATGAAAATTTGGAAAACATAAAGTTACATAAACTCCTTTCAAGATTCAATGTGAGGTGAGGAATCTCCTTAGGCCTTATATTTCAGAGTCTGTTAAACAACTGTGCGTTCCCTGACTTCAGGCTTATTGCATTTAGCTTACTTTGCCAAACTATTACTGAGTATTGGTTATGATTTAAGTACTGGGGATATAGTACAGAAGTAGATAAAACATTCTTTGTCCTTGAACCTTTGTCTTTCTCCTTCGTGTTTAAGATTACTAGAGTCCCCCTTTTTGAACCTCTTCCAATGATATAATTTGAAACAACAAAGACTCAATCTACACCTGTTTTTAAATGTCAGCAAGATAAATTCCAAGCTAAATTACAGGAATATCTTCCTCACTGGGTCTCCCTAATTCTAAACTTGTTCCTTCCAATCATTTATTCATACAGCAGTCTCATGATCTTTTGACATTTCTCATCATTCCTTCCTTGCTTTCTACAATCTAGTCAATTTAGTAATACTGGCCTTCTTTCAGTTTTTTGAAAGCAGCAAGCTCTATTACGCTTCAGTGACTTTACCTACTCTCTTCCCTTACTGTGGACTGTTCTTCTTATCATCTGGTTTACATTTCATTATTTCTTCAGGACTCATCTCAAGTGAAACTTTTTTAAAAAAGTTTTTCTCTGATCACTTTTTCTCAGTCTTTTTTCTTTTCTTTCTTTCTTTTTTTTTGTTGTTGTTGCTCAGGCTGGAGTGCAGTGGCATCATCTTGGCTCACTGCAACCTCTGCCTCCCAGGTTCAAGTGATTCTCCTGCCTCAGCCACCCAAGTGCTGAGATTACAGGTGCCTGCCACCACACCTGGCTAATTTTTGTATGTTTAGTACAGACGCAGTTTCACCATGTTGGCCAGGCTGCTCTTGAACTCTAGCTTCAGATGATCTGCCCACCTTGGTCTCCCAAAGTGCTGGGATTACAGCGCTGAGCCACCATGCCAAGCCTTTTTTTCTCAATCTTGATAACAAGCTCTTCTTATTATCATCTCTCATCACACTTAACTTATATTTCCTTTGTGACACTTACAAAATTATTTCTATAACTTATAATTATATGTTAATTTTGTGATCATTTATTAATTATCTTCCCTACCATAATCTACATTCCATGAGGACAGAAGGTTTGTCCGGTTCTTCATCACGGATCTCTTTGGTAGCATTTGGCACATAGTGCATGCTCAATAAATATTTGTTGAAGGCAATGTATGACTTTTCTCACCAGCCTGTCTACTATTACTTCCACAGCCATTCTTTAGTATATTGTCCTGTTTTACTTTCTTTATAACAGTTATTGATAGCTGAGACTGTCTTGCAGAGTAATACATTTATCTATATGGTATTATCTGTCTTTGCCAATTAGAATATAAATTTCATGATAATACAGACTCTGAAGCAAACCTCCTGGGTTTGAATCTCAGATTTACCACTTACTGCGTGTGTACCCATGAGAAAGTCTCTTAGGCCAGCTTTCATGCCTCATTAGTAAATTAGTGGTAGTAAATGTCTCTGCACCATAAGGTTGTTAGGATTAATGGAGAGACTATGTATAAAACAACACCGAAAAGAGTGACTGCACATGTGAGTGCTAGCTGTTGTCATGATGGTCATCACTATTATTATTATTATTTATCTGTTTCCTCACCAAATAGATCAGCAACAGACATATAGCAGGTACTCCATAAATAGATTTTAAATATATTAAGAAAAGTTTTATGCCTTATTATCCATTAAAGTGATATTTTATTAGGCTGCTGAGAACCAGTGCCCACTTACAGATTTTCATAAAAATATCTGTTTATCTGCCATGATGTACTACATATAAAATTTCCCATTATGATTACGGGTGGAAGTTTGTTTTTGCTTCTACACTTCTCATTTTTGGGGGAAAAGAGTTAGGTCTTAAAATTGATTTCTGTTCCTTAATCAGTGTGACTCTGTATATTCTCCTTTTAGAACAACTATTAAATGAAATTCTTCAATACACATCTTACCCCCACCCCCATTTGGCCCATGACAAATATAAAGTTTTAATTGATTTTTAGTTCCACTCGTGATGATAATTCTGCCTGAACAAGGAATGTCTTCTAAGGATAGAACTGGATGCTATTTTAAATTCTTTTTTTTTTCTACTAATGTTGAAACATTGAGACAAGTTTGGGCAGGGAGATTCAAGCACTTAATTCAACTTTCTCTCCACATATATGAAATAAAGAAGCACAGTGATTTATCATACTCTGTATTTTATTATACTGTCATTTTAGTATATTTAAGTTTGGTTAATACAATCTTGACAGCAGGGTGGAATGTAATTTAAATTTTAATATTTTCAGCTGCAGCAATGGTGATGTATTATTTCTGTATATAGAAAGATACCAGTTATCTGACTGATGTGGAGGGGACAAAATATATCCTCAGGTTACTTCTTGAAAACAGAAGTGAAAAATCACCTAACTATGTCACTGATGTCGTGACATAATAGACACTTTGAATTATTTACTAAATGCCTTAGTGCCAAAGGTCCTATCAAGTTTGGAATTATATACTTTAGACATTTAAAATGAATCTTAAAAAAATTATTTAATTTTCAGAATTGGTCTTTCAAAATTAAAACCCTATTATAAGAAGTTCACTCAATAATACTTGAGTAGGCTAAATCATGTCTCTCCAAATGTAAAATCCTGAATGTGAATATGGTACGAGGCTGGTATTTATACTGTCTCCTGATGCCAGACTTATATACAGTTCCTTCTGCATTGATTTTGCACTATGAAGATGAAAATTTTGGTAGTAGCAACTAGAATTAAATAAAAATTAGAGAATCAGAGACTATTTGTTCTGGAAGCAAACACATACGAGGCCTAGTCCAGGGCTTAGGGCAGTGATTAGTCTACTTACAGGTCTATCAATCATACATCTAGTTGTCCAAATCTGATAGAAGGATTGTGCTCCTATGTTTATACCTGATATGATGAAAACAAGGCCTCTTTTCTAGGGTTTTGCAGAATAAGCAGTATCTCAATCAATTTGGAATAGTTACTGTGTATCAATAAAACAGATTCTTATTGGTCTTGTTTAAGATTGTCTCCAGCTAAGAGTGAGGTCTGAAGATTTACGGCATGAATTTGGTCGTTATGGTCCTATAGTTGATGTGTATGTTCCACTTGATTTCTACACTCGCCGTCCAAGAGGATTTGCTTATGTTCAATATCCTTTCTTCAGATGGCTGATTAGTGAGGGGTGTTGAAGTTTGAAATTCAAGTTTATAGAATGTAAAGCTGTACAGTTATGGCGACCCCAAAGAGAAAGCATGAAAGAACCTTTAGAGTAGAGTTCAACACTTAAGGCAAGTAGATAAGCCAAAGACCTCTTAAGGATCAGGCTTGAAGAGAAGGGAGAGTTTGGGAAAAGAAAACATAAAGAGAAGCTGGAAGAAGGACAAGCCTAATGGGAGACAAAGCCTCGCTTTATCTACAAAAGGGGGAAAAGGTTGTTTTTCAAAGTTAAAGATAAAGCCATCTGTCATATTTGGCCAAGCATCTCATGACAAGTCCTTCTTACAAGCACTTAAAGAGTTAAAGGTCAAGATGAAGTTGAATTGAATGATGGCCAAGATTAAAGGAGTCATACCTGATCACATTTGAGCATGTTCGTGATGCTGAAGATGCTTTACATAATTTGGACAGAAAGTGGATTTGTGGATGGCAGATTGAAATACAGTTTGCCCAGGGGGATCGGAAGACACCAAATCAGATGAAAGCCAAGGAAGGGAGGAATGTGTACAGTTCTTCACGCTATGATGATTATGACAGATACAGACGTTCAAGAAGCCGAAGTTACAAAAGAAGGAGATCAAGAAGTCGGTCTTTTGATTACAACTATAGAAGATCGTATAGTCCTAGAAGCAGTAGACCAACTGGAAGACCACGGCGTAGCAGAAGCCATTCCGACAATGATAGATTCAAATACCCAAATCGATCTTTTTCAAGATCTAAATCCAATTCAAGATCACGGTCCAAGTCCCAGCCCAAGAAAGAAATGAAGGCTAAATCACGTTCTAGGTCTGCATCTCACACCAAAACTAGAGGCACCTCTAAAACAGATTCCAAAACACATTATAAGTCTGGCTCAAGATATGAAAAGGAATCAAGGAAAAACCACCTAGATCCAAATCTCAGTCAAGATCACAGTCTAGGTCTAGGTCAAAATCTAGATCAAGGTCTTGGACTAGTCCTAAGTCCAGTGGCCACTGATAGTATAAACCATGGTCATTTTTAGGCATGTATCATTTACTCATAGTTTGGTTTACTTAAATTATCAGGAATACAATGTTGCAATGATGCTTAAAAAACACTTGTTAGTTTTCCCTGTACCAGGCAATGGTTATAATTAAATGATATGCTGTTGAGAAGCCACTCTTAAGAGTCCAGTTTGTTTAATGTTATGGGCAGCTACCAATTGTGGTGTCTCTGTATATTTTTGTAAAGATTTTCATTTATTTATGCTTGAAGTATTTGGTGAAAAGATGTTGGTTGACCATAATTTGCAACATTGTCTCATTAAAAATAAACTTTCATATTCATATTTGGTAGAACTGTTAACCTAGAATGTAGCTTGCTAATAGGATAGAATGATACAAAAGTGAAGTAGTAGCCACAGTACAGCACTGACTGTTCAGACACATTTAGGTTCAGGATGGGCCTTTATGTCTTGTCAAAATGTCTAGGCCCATCCGGGCACAGTGGCTCACGCCTGTAATCCCAGCACTTTGGGAGGCCAAGGCGGGTGGGTCATGAGGTCAGGCATTTGAGACCAGCCTGACCAACAGGATGAAACCCCCTCTACTAAAAATACAGAGTTAGTTGGGCGTGGCGGTGCATGCTTGTAATCCCAGCTACTTGGGAGGCTGAAGCAGGGGAATTGCTGGAACTTGGGAGGTGACAGTTGCAGTGAGCCAAGATTGCATCACTGCACTCCAGCCTGGGTGACAGAGTGAGACTTCATCTCAAAAAAAAGTCTAGGCCCATGATAATTACTTATGATGGTGAATTAGTTCTTTTGTTAACCCCACTGTCTTGGGGAATGATGCCAGCTGGGTTAGGTAATATTTTCAGGGAGATTGAGTTTTTGACTGAAACATGGAGGCTTCACTGCTATTTTTCTGGTTCCTGTGAAGATTTGGAACGTAGAAAACACAAAAACTTATTCTTAAAATTAGAGCAGGTCGATCATGGCAAAAATAATTTTAAGGAGAAAGGAATATTCTTACGTAGTTATTCTAAAGTTTAATGAGTGTTGTTGATCATAATATTGCTTAGTTTTCTTCCTGCTGTTAGAAGGGAGTAAATTGTTTCAAAGTAGGTTTTGTGTGTGTGTGTGTGTGTGTGTGTGTGTGTGCATAGTATAAAAGAACTGAATTTTTTTGATGCTTAGAGCACTTGGCCTGTGCATTTGTATCAAAATTTGCCTGCCTCTTTATGAGCGAGGCCTGCTTTTCACACCTCAGTTTATTTAATATGAGGCAAGTTGAAAGACAACACTCATTCTAGGCGATTCTGTGGTGCCATGAAATTTAAAATAATTTTGGAAAAAGGATTAGTCAGTTTTAAGCAAGAGTCACATCTTCTGAGTTTTTGATTATCAGTGTAGTACCTGACTAAAAACGAAGTAATACCCTTAACCATTTATAATTTCTGATCTTTTTCTGAAAGATCGTTTTGGGGACAAAAGTGACCTGACATGTCCAATTTCATTTCAGAATAAAAAGCTAGCATCTTTAAAAATCAGATTGCTTGCTTACAGATATAAGTAAGAATTATGGAGAAACAATTCCTTTTAGAGGATTACTTTTTTCAATTTTGGTTTTTGGAATCTAGGCTTTGCCTGTAAAGAATAAAACGATGGATTTTAAATACTGTTTGTGGAATGTGTTTAAAGGATCGATTATTCTAGAACCTTTGTATATTTGATAGTATTTCTAACTTTAATTTCTTTACTGTTTGCAGTTAATGTTCATGTTCTGCTATGCAATCATTTATATGCACGTTTCTTTAATTTTTTTAGATTTTCCTGGATGTATAGTTTAAACAACAAAAAGTATATATAAAACTGTAGCAGTAGTTTGCAGTTCTAGAAAAGAGGAAAGTTGTGGGGTTAAACTTTGTATTTTCTTTCTTATAGAGGCTTCTAAAAACGTATTTTTATATGTTCTTTTTAACAAATATTGTGTACAACCTTTAAAACATCAATGTTTGGATCAAAACAAGACCCAGCTTATTTTCTGCTTGCTGTAAATTAAGCAAACATGCTATAATAAAAACAAAATGAAGGAAAAAAAAGATTGTCTCCATAATTATGCCTGGTTCATAATAGGTACACAATATATACTTATTGAATTAATAAATGAATGTTCATTATTTTAAACATAAAACCTTGGATCCCCTTTTGGGGATTATCTGGAACTCTTAAGACTCCCCTGAGATCCTAGGATATCTTCAGAATAATGTTTGAACACCACTGATGCAAGTAACTGTGATAAATCAAAGAGCAACTGGATAGTTCTATTCCTCAATTACTCTTAATCCTCCACCACCCTCTTGCCTCCATTCTTCAACTTTGTTGTTCTCTATCTCCACGACAAATTAGAGGATACACGAATGAAGAAGATAAGATGGGGCAAATGGTAGAAAAAAGTGTGAAAGCTACAGTGAATTGAATTTCACAGTCTCTGTGAAAGTGAAATGAGATGAAACCTCAAGAATAGAAAAATAGTGTCATTCTTTTCAATTTTCTGGTATATCTCACTCCATGAATAAATCTTACTGATAGAATATTTTCTGGACTAACGCAAATTAGTTTAGGTATAAGTAAGTAGATTATCTGTTTGAAGAGAAGAAAAGATGTTGAAGAACCAACCCTAGAATATGACAACCACAGCTTCCCGTCTAGCAGAAATAGCATTTTACATAACTAAGAAAAGATAATTGGCATGCAGTTTTGAATTTATTTTCTGAATGTGAATATGGGTTTAATGTCTAAATTGTTAGAATAGCCAGAGGCAAGTGTCTGACAGCATTAGACTACAGAGCTTCCTCTACAACCTGAATTGAAGCATGTAGCTCGACTTAGAAAACAATCTGACATGACAGTTTTCCATGGTGTTCTTTAAACCCAGGTAACTAGATGCACTATTTAGTAATGGGACCGAGTTTTAATAGGAGATATCCCATAAGGCCAGCCTGAAGCAGACTTGAGAATAAAATATTTTTTGTTCTGTGTTATTGAGTTCTTTCAATCCCAGATTCCCCACTATCCTGAGCACACAGTCCCCAGCTAGCAACTCTATCATAATCCTTCAGGATATTCTAAAATGCTATCGTCAACATGTGCCACCTGTGCAAAATAGTGTTGTGTTTATGCTAACTATTGAAAAGTACATTTATAAATTTAAAGAAAAAGCTATATGTGGTATGTCGGGAGACAGCAGAGCAAGATACAGAATAGAATGCTCCACTGATCATCCCCCGCTGCAAGGACACCAAGATAACAATTATCTACACAGAAAAAACCATTCATAAGAACCAAAATAAGGCAAGGACTCACAGTACCTGGTTTTAATTTTATATCACCAAAAGAGGCACTGTAGAGAGAAAAAACCGTTCCGACGCCACCTCCTGCCCTCCAGCAGTGACCGCATGGTGCATAGAGCATCCCTAGGTACTCAGAAAGGGAGAGCACAGCAACTGGGAGGCATTAAGCTCAGTGCTGTCCTGTTAGAGTAGAAAGGAAAACTGGAACAAACTCAGTGGATGTTCTTCCATTGAGGGAACATTTAAACCAGCCCTAGCCTGAGGGGAATTACGAATCCCAGAGGTCCGAACTTGAGTGCCTGCAAGCCTTGCTACTGGGGGCTACAGCATTCAGTGCCAAGTAAACTTGAAGGTGGATTTAGGCCATAAGGACTGCAACTCTGAGGCAAGTCCTAGTGCTAAACTGGACCCAGAGTCTGTGCACTAAGGCGAGAGGGCATGTGACATTCTGAGACACCAGCTGGGGCAGCAGAGGGAGCACTGGCAGCACACCTCCCCTAACCCCAGACTGCACAGCTAAAAGCTCCCAAAGAGACCATTTTCTTTCTCCTGAGGAGAGGAGAGGGAAGATTGGGGACAACTTTGTCTTCAAACAATTGAACTTATAGACATAGAGTAGCATGAGAGTTACCAGAGGCTGGGAAGAGTGGTGTGGATCTGGGTGGAGGGTAGGGTTATTGGGCACAAAAATAACAAAAAGAATTAATAAGATCTATTATTTGACAGCACAACTTGGTGACTATAGACAATCATAACTTAATTGTATATTTTAGACTAATTTAGAGTGTAATTAGATTGTTAATAACTCAAAGGATAAATGCTTGAGAGGATGGATACCCATTCTCCATGATGTGCTTATGTTAGATTGTATACCTGTATCAAAACATCTCATGTACTGTATAAATACATACACCTACTATGTATCCACAAAATTGATAATAAAAAGAACTAGAATAAAACAAAAAAAACACAAATATGACTGATTCCATTTCCTGCAACCAGAGAAGAGAGAGATTTAACAATGTTGGGAACTCTCAAAGGTATAATTATGGATAGAAAAAAATTATTCAAATGAAAAGGATAAATATCAACAAACATGTATATGAGTGGCACGAGGTATAAGAAGAGTGTGTGAAAGACTATGATTCAGAGTGAATGTGGATTTACACTAGAACTAAGATTAATAAAAGGGCTTTAATAGGTATACTTCGAAGAAGAAGAAAAGCAAGGAAGGCTTGATATTTGAAGCTGACAGAGAAAGAGTAGAAATGACTTATTTGCTCCTACTGCATTTCATCTTCTCTCTTTCTGAGAATGTGCCTTATACTAGAATGAAAAGTAGGTACAGGGTAACAGAAAATTATTTTTTTCCAGCTTTTTTGAGGTATAATTGACAAAATTTGTATATAACTAAGGTACACAATATTTTGATGTTTTAATATATATGTACATTTTAAAATTATTACTACTATCAAGCTAATTAATATATTCAACTCACATATATAACATTTATGAAGTGAGAATATTTGATATACTCTCATAGCAAATTCCAGTATGCAATACAGTGCTATTAACTGAAGTCACCAGGTTGACTGTCTATTACATCTCCAGAATTTACTTATCCTGCCTAAGTGAAACTTTGTACCCCTTGACCAATATCTTCCCATTCCTTCAGTCCCCAGACCCTTGCAACAATCATTTGACTGTGCTTCTATGAAACTGATTTATAAAGATTTTGTATATTTTGAGCTCAGGGAGTATTTGTCTTTCAGTGTCTGGCTTATTTCACTTAGCAAAATGTCATCCAGTTTCCTCCAGGATTTTCTTTTTAAAGGATGGATAATATTCCATGATGTGTGTGTTATATATGAT